CCAATAATGATATTCCACTTCTCAGAATGAAAGTGTTTGCCCGTAAGGTGTGTGCAGGTCTATCCCTAAAATAAATTAGAGGGAGTTTTTGTACACATTTTTTAAGGTCAAACATCACCTAAACAGACAACTTGTTCACCACTCTCAGTAAAGAACATACTGGCACATTGGACTCAAAGCTGAAGGTATCTGTGTCCGCTAAAGGCTTTGGGTGTCTGGAAGTCACACAGCCACAGTAGTGTAGCCGTATTCAGGATAAAAGATTTTCAGATCTAGAAGAAGCTAGAAACCATGGGGAGATGGGCCAAAAGACCTTCTCTCCTTTTTAATATTACTAATGTTTTTAAAGAATTGTCAATATGAAGTCAATGTCTTACAGCCAACTTTCTTTTGGCTGTAGGTTATCTATCTTTCAGTGATTCCACCATGAGCAGTTGTTTAGTCCATGTCCATGTGCACAGCTCATTGTGTTCCTCAGAGATGGCTGCTTGGATCGTGTCTACTGTGTCATCATATTTCATTTGCTAGAGATGGGGCTATGCAAGCCATTCATCAGAGTTTTTCAGATCAAAACAAAGGATTACACAAAAGCCTCTAAAAATAGTCACAGATGCAGGCCAGCTTCCTGCCAATCAAGCCTTGTTAGTCTGTTTTCAGCTTGTCAGTCCACAGGTCTAGAACAGACACACATGGCTTTTTTTTCTTTCCCAGAGGGCAGTGCAAGTAAATTAAACAGAAAGAGGCTATACACATCCCCCGTCTGCTAGGATCTCTTGGTTCCCAAGCAAAGCACTATAGAGTCCATCTGAAATCAATTCTCCATTTTGGCAGAAGCAACTGGCTTTTTGTGACATGGAGGGGAATGTGTGAGCCATCAGCATTAAGCTATGCTCGACCTTGTTTGGTTTATTCCATTGACAGACGGTGAATTTAATAACACCATGTAGTATCTCCAGTGATTCACTGTTGATGGGCACACAAACACAGTTATTTATACGATTCCTGGCTTTCTCTGTCTGTTGTGGTAAACTCAGTGTTATTTTTTAGATATATGTTTGTCATGGCCCATGTGGCTGTCCATCAACAATAAGGTTTTGCCGAATAGTCCTTGCGCTGTTTTCAAAGACTTTTGGAAAAAAACATTTACATACCTGTAGGTTTTATTTCTGAAGTATTTTTGTACCTTTTCCAAAATAAAATGTATATTAGACAGACATTAGATCTAAGCAAGTTAGTAATACAGTAACGGAAATGACTTGTATTTCTATATGAATTTTGGTGTGTGTGTTTTTGTGTTTTAACATTGCCAGTAAAAGCAGAAGTAAACACATTTACTAATACAACTGGAAATAAGCTGCTCAAATCACATTACCTGCACAGCACGACAAATAATACTGGGTTAAAAAAGGTTATAAAACAGAACAATTGTCAAAATGTCAAAAGCATGAACAATTTTGGATTTCCATCATTTCATTAAATTTACTTTTCTACTGCATCGCAGTCCTTAATGGTGTGGTTAGTAAGAGAATGCATTAATACTCTTACCAAGTGAGATATGAGCAATTCTTGTCAGATTACTGACTGTTGGGCAATTTGACTAATAATTGTGTTACAAAGGAGAAAATAACCAACTTGCATCCCTTGTGCATCAGCTCTCCAAAGGCACCTTTTGTTACTTACATGGCAATAAATGGCAGCCTAGTGTAGGTAACTGTGAATTTTATTGCATTTCCTGTAGCTGTTGTTTAGCTTTAAAAAAAATACAAGAAATTTCAATGTGAGTTGTAAAACCCGCTTTCTGCATGTAAATCAAGATGTAAATCAGCTCTTATCAAATTTGTTTTTAAATAATTTATAGGTTCTCCAGAATAACATTTCCATTAATGAATGATAGATGAACTTTCTGGGTTATCGGCAGCATCTAAGCGAGGCGTGCCTGCCTTCAAAAGATGCGGCTGTCGTCCTGGGATCCACAAACTCGGTGACCCTGACTGGGCTAGTGGCTAACGAGTCTGCTTGTGGTGGGGGGCTGTGCATCACACAGATCAAAGGTCAAGTCTCGGTCTCGGAGCAGCAATTCAAATTAAAAACTTGCTGCCATCCCAACTGAAAAGGGCTTGACAAGATTTCCTATGCAGAAATACATACGTACAGTACCTTACAGAGAGAAAATGGGTCAGAGTGAAAAAGGAAGAGTCATTTAGTCTGCTGAATGTGTCAGTGTTTTCCATTATAGAAAGCACTGAATCCTCCTCCAGTGAAACCTTCTTCACAGATCTTTCAGGTTTTTTTTACAATCCTTTAGTTCATCATCCCCCTCAGGAATCAATGAGAGGCCTTTTCAGACTGTGAACTGTATTTATTACTCATCACGTCAGAATGCCTGTTGCAATGTATGGGTAGCATGAGTTAATAAACGTGTGGGACGCATGTGTTTCATCAAGTGACCAGCAGGGGGACACAAACCTATCAAAAGATGCCATCATGGTTTTTCTCATAAAATAGCCTGGCATAGATTAATAGGGTTAATGTGTAATGTGACATCTCTGTCATGTTTCCTGCATTTTGTTTTTACTTGGAGTTTGTGATCACCAGAGTCCATGTGGCTGCCAGATCTCAAAGTACTATTATGAATGATCCCTACAGCTGAACGTAAAACTCAAAAATGATTATTTTTAGGATTGGAAGGGGAAGCCTGATGCAGTAACATCTCTGAAAATATGGCTAACCCAACTGAAGGAAGCTTGATTGTATGAGATTAGTGGGCTGATAAACTTGCTCTTCTGATCCAGGGATACGTTTTTATGCAGTGTGAGAACATCAACTTCATGTGTGGCTACTTAGCATAAACAATGTCATTTTATGAGGGAGATGCTGTGCCAGAAAAAGTATCCTGCAATCATGTCACAAATAAAATAGGAAATGCAATTCCAGATTAAAATATTCAGTACTTACTTGAGTTCATCTCTGTTAAGCATTGTAACATTTATATAACTGAATAGGTATATATACTTAACATTATCATCTGTGGCCCCTGTTTATTGTGTGTAATGTGCCATGACCTCCTTGTAAGATTATGAAGAGTCTGCTGGAAATTAACTGTGTTTGTGCATGTGTTTCAGTGTTTGCTTTAAAAGCTTCTGAAACACATTTTTTCCCTAAAGCAGACATGGTTTTAAACTTTTGAATGAAGGATATATAGTAGATTGATTTTTAACTATGTGCTATTCTTTTTTCCAACAAGTTATTTTATAATGGAAATGAGAACCTTGAGAACTTGTTCACTACAGCTCTGCATTTGGTTGAGTTCAATCTCGCACAACAGCCCCGATAATTGCTGAGCTTTTTTTGATTCTGAGTTTTTCTGATTCTCTTAATACATTTAAGAAGCGCTGTAGTAGCAGGTCTGATAGCTGGTATGAAAGCTTTCAAATTCAGGAACTGGTAGAAAAAAAATAGCCACGTTAAGAGATGAAAAAACTTGCAGTGATACCACATTGGAAGCGTTATGAGTAAATGGGAAAGTGCTGTTTTTGGTTAGTGCCTGCTAAAAAATTGAAGAGGCTTTCAGTGAGGAGATTGTTTTGCTTGGTTTTGTGTGTAAAGTGTGGGATAGGATTGGATGGTAGGTTTAGGGTTACTGGGTGCATTGGAGAGTGGTTTTGAAAGCATACTGATCATTTTTAGAGCTTCAGATTTTTATAATATCATTCTATGTGTGCTGTGTGCTACTCCTAACACTTTAACTTGTTGCCTGTGTGACTAGCAGGAAGTGTCTTGCGTAATACGGGGTTACAGAAAAAAAGTTTCATTAGTTTATTATCAACAATTGCAAAATTATTTTGACATATGTGGCAATATGAGGACAACACTGCTGTGTCTGACTGCTATTTGGTTCTGTTTTGCCAGGTGGTTTGAGATTGAATTTTCCAAGGGGGAGAAAAGAGAGTTATTTTCACAATTCTCTGTTATTATACTCTGGCCCTGTGATGAATAATCCATTGTATTAGGATGTCTATAATGTAACAATTATGCATTTTGAAGGATGCCCTATGATTTTTTATTTTGTTTTGACATTAATCCATGTAAGATAAGGGGAATTGTACCTATTTAGTAGTCAATAGTTTAGTCAATATTCAATAGTTTCTGTCTACCTTGAACGTACTGTACAGTAACAACAATATATTGTGACCTGTGATTTCAACCAGGCTCTCAGAAATGTATTCCTTGAGTAAGCACAAATAATGAGGAACCACTAGGCTATCGCTTTGCTCCTGCAGTAATTGCAAGTTTTCCCTGTTACATTATTTCAAGTAATTGATCCGCTGTGCCCTCTTACGGAATTTATGAAACTTATGAAATTGCTGACTGCTTCAGAGGGCTGAGCGCTTTGGGAGTTTATTATCTGGTATTCTGCTCCTGTTTACAGGAAGAAACTTCGAGATGTAAGTCAATCAACTAGGAGAAATAGAAATGAGTGAAACTGCTTATCAGGATAAAAAAAAAAATTCCCTGTACCACTGGACACAGTGTCAACCTAAATTGTGATAAAGAATAGCTTTATTTGCAATAGATGTTAACTTAGTGAGAATAAGTTTCTGACCATTCCATACCTTTAATACTGTTTTGTCTTGAACACCCTTTGCTTTTTGTTGGTGTTATTGGTGTTTTGGTGGACCCCATAAATTGGAGAATTACCCAGCAGCTGCTAATTCTTTACAGTCTCTAATATCTATATTTTAATATATTATTTTCTGGAGAGGGTGGGATGAGGTCATCTACTGTACATCTCCCAATGCTCCACTATACAGTGAGATCTGTTGAAAACAAAACTAAACTATTTGTGTAAAAAAAGGACAAACAAAAACCATTTTGACCTCTGTGTCAATACTTGAGCTGCATCACTTTTTTGTGTGCTACAGTGGGTTTCAACTTCTGTTTTCATTTCCTAACCTGGCTGACACTGTGATTCCTCTGTTCCCTGTGCTTTTTGTTCCCAGCCCTGAAGAAGGGAAGGTTCTGGATCACTCCGGACCCGTACCACAACGACGACAACATCCAGATTGGCCGCGAGGTAAAGATCTCTTGCCAGGTGGAGGCCACGCCCCCAGAGGAGCTGATGTTCAGCTGGCTGAAGAACGGCCGGGCACTGCGGAGCTCTGAGCGCATGGTGATCACCCAGACAGACCCCGACGTCTCCCCGGGCACGACCAACCTCGACATCATCGACCTCAAATTCACCGACTTCGGCACCTATACCTGCATGGCATCCCTGAAGGGCGGGGGCATCCCGGAGATCAGTATTGATGTGAATATCTCCTCCACCACAGGTGAGTACCAATTCAGAACACCTCCTAAAGGGATGTTCACTGCTTTATCTGAGGGGCATCCTGATCACTGAATATCAGTTCCACACAGCTGAGCCTTATCTGCCAAACACAAGCAGCTACATTTCACTGCCCTTGGCCTGCTGATCGTCATTTCACCCCCTTTAAAAGAGCTGTTGAGTTGCACCACTGAGTTTAAAGGAGGGTGACATTTTATTGAAAAAAAGACAGATAATAATGTCAAATTTAATTTGTCAGATAGCTCAGAGAGTATTTGCTCCTGATAATTAACATTGAACACAAGTTTCTATTTATAAAAGGGTGTTGGATCAAAAATGAGGTAGACAGTGCTTATCTGTAGTGAGGGTAGCAAAAAAAAAAGTTTATTTTTATCAAAGTACAGTATGTGTTTTTCAGAAAAACACACAACTTTGGCAAGTCAATACTTTTGTGATTAGGTTCCTCTTCCAGATTGTTCTCATTTTTCTCATTCTCTTTCTAACATGTTGATACATTATTCCTTGAGGCATTCATTTCGCAGACCTTTCTGTTTTAGACCTACAGTACTGATATAAATTTAATATGTATTCGTCTATGTCTAAATGATTTCGAATTTTGAGAAAGGGAAAATATCACCGCAAATTATATTTAACATTTATATTATAATTCATGTTTATATCAAAGCAACAATGAATTATAGAAAACTGCCAATATCATGGACTTGTTGTTTTAACATAAGGTAAGGTAAAATAAGTTTAAAACAATGATTTAGTAAATAACTGAATCAAGGGTGACACCACCTTATAAAATCCATATAAAATCCATCAGGGTATACAGTGTGTGTATATACTGTATAATGATCCTAAGCAACCATCCAAATTGACAAATTGTAGGTATGTGTACACACATATGTTCTCGTCTGGCCATCTCAATCTTCAGACCTCAATTCAATTAAACATTTGTGTTTCAAACACAAGAAGGCAGTCCACTAAGTGCCACAGAATGGTCTGAAGGATCTGGAGAAATTCTGCCTGCAGGAATGTTGAGTAATTCTCTCTCAAAAGGGCCAGGGAACCTCAAAGCACACTACTGAATGAATGTGACCCTTCTATTTCCCAGTCTTAAATCAATTATTTATGAAAAATATGATTTTGCTCTGTGTGACGTTAATTACAATTATAGTATAACACTTTTCGATTTTTTTTTTAAATGAGGCCCATCTTCCAGTCTGCAGCATTTCCTGTTGTGTAATGGTTGTGGTTCCCTTTTGTAAGGGGGTATGAATAAATCTGGAGAGAGCTGTGCAGTATATGGTATACTGTATAGTGATGCTTTGGGATGCTAGGTCACCAGGTCACAGATGTGTTGTCTAGTGTAAGGAGCCAACTACGATTACAGCAACATTTGTTTTATGTTTTTCAAAGTTTCACAAAGTGCTAGAATGTTGAAGTCTTATGAAAACTTGTCTCTTTTTTCAAAACCCTGAGTAAATGTAAATGTGTCCTCTTCTTTTTCTTCTCAGTCTCTCTCTCTTTGACATACAACTTCTTTTTGTTGGCAAACACAAAGAAAGGTCCTTAATAAAATTAAAGCCTTGTTTGTCACACCAGATTTTATACTCTCAATACACCACCTAATGAACAACAGCTGTCCATCCTAACCCCTGGAAATTAACACTCTTCCCACTGCTCACTGGGAAATTTAGTTTGGTAAGACGAGCTTTATCAGAATTATTGAGAGTAGAGGTTCATAATACTTTTGGCCAATAATACAGTGCCCTCTATAACACTGAATCATGTTTTGTCACAGTATGTATTTTATTACAAGGAACAGTCTTGCATGTTAGCATGTCTTTGAAGAGCATGCAGTATGAATATAATTATGGGTATGAATATTAATTAGCTCTCATGCAATGCTAGAGAAGGCAAGACTACTGTACATATTGCCCCTCGCCATTGAAAGTTTCAGCAATTTTTAATGTAGAAAAACAAACATATTCCATAAATGATAAGCCAGGGTGTGGGCGACTGCAGATCACAACGCCATGCCAGACGCCATTTTTATGATTTTCACAGTGCAACAGTAGTTCCACTACATCAAAAACAATTGGTCGCAACAAGGGATTGAAGGCACAGCTTGACTACACGTCATCAACTGTACTCTAGGACGTCATCCAGTGCTCTTCCTGCATGCTCACCTCATCCTGCTGCTGAAATGTTGTTCTCTTGTGAGATGAGAATAATGCACTTTCTGTATGTCTGTATGTTGTGCATGTTCTACTTTCCAGATTTTAGGCCCATTGGACATTTGTGGCATGAGCTGGGTGGACATGTGCCATCTAGGTCTCAGAGATTAGTGGGCAGTAACATGTTTGTTCAGGCTCTAGGAGAGGAACAGGACAAAATCCCACAAAACAGCATCTGCATGCTAAAGCAGATGTACAGCTTGTATTGCTTCCAATGGTAGATACACACACATTATTAGCCTGTGAATTTCGCAGTAGACCCCTGTTGATTAACCCTGCTGATGACAAATGTTAATCAGCATAATGAATTTGCCTGTGTCAGGTCTGCTCAATGAAATGTTAGTGCACCTGCTGGAGAAAAGTGATTCAATGTCTATATTTCTTTCTCCTGGCCGGGTGCACTCAACTGAAGCATTCAAGTCTTGAGAGCAGCTGAACTAACGTCATTAATTGGATTGGGATTGCAGTATTCTGGAACCTGTTTTCAGTGCGTGTTTCAATGGGATTATTTATAAGATTTAAAAATAAAGAGTACAAAAAATAAAATTACGTTTTATAAATATTTTATTGGTGTGGGCCAAGAATTCACTTTTTCTCTTCCTTTTAAAAAGTTCACAAGGCAAAGTGAAAATAAGAATTACTGAAGTGTCAAGCTTTTTAGAGAGGAGTAAACAATTCAAATATTATATTACCTTAATACTCACCTCTGCATACATTACTACTTAGCATTTAATTGAAATGGACACATTATGAATGCTTTGATACCTTAACACACCAAGACAAATAATAAACAGACATTCTTTCCTAGTAATGCAGTCCTCTCCTTTGCTTTGAGTAGATTTTCACCTCTGCCTACTGTATATTCACAAACCTGGAACTGAGAATTCTCCCATAGGGTTTGCTTTCTTAATACAATTTTCTCCAATTTGGGCTCTGAAAAGAATTCATTCTTTCTATGGTTTGTAAGGGGAATGTACTGTTGGCATCATATTTATGTTACATAAAGACAAAATCCCCACAGGCCCATGAACCTTTGACTGCCAGTGGGATCACTCTAATTTGCTGTATTTTACTGTGGGTTTGAAAGGGCAGATAGACGAAAATGAGTAATTGGAGTCTGTGTAGTCCAACAGATTAGAAAGGTAGGTGAAAAAAAACTGCCGTTTGGAATGAAAAGACGATGGGTCATTCAAATACAGAGATTTCCCAGACAGGTGATTGGAGTAGGCAGAAACAGAAAGAAAGAGGAAAGACTTTCAAGTGTAGAAGAGAGAGACGGAGAGCTGCAGAGGAGAAGGATCTTGTGAGAGAATGTGATTTGAAAAGGCTAGCACGGTTACAGAATTGGCTTTAATCTGTAGCCTGCTGATTGATTTTTCATTTGATGCTATGAAATATTATTAGTTTAACCAATGAATCCCTATTTCATGCCTTCAGTGGAATATTCAAATTCTGTTCTCCAGATTTGATTTTCGTCTGTCAGTTACTGTATGTACTGAATTGCACTATGGGATAAAATCCTTGGTGTAGCTGCATTCACTCCAAAAAATAATAATGGGAAAAAATCTGGCTGATTTGGGCTCATTTTGTGTGTCCTCGGTACGACAGCGAATGTAAGCTATGCATTGTCCATGTCGTTTCTAATTAAATAAGGTATTGTTTCTATAACTTTAGGGTTTCTCTGAATGCACTAATGTGCTTCATAAATCTCACTATGAACTGCGTTTCTCTAATCTAAGTACAGGTCAGAGTTGTAAATTTTGGTTTGCTGTGGGGTGGTCCTTAGTTACATTAGTGTCATTTTTTGTCAGGATGCTGCTACAGCTTACTCCTTTAGCTGTGGTTCACAACCATGCCTCTGCTGCCCCACCTGAAGAGTTCAGTTCTTTCGCAGTGTTGCTGAGGTCTCTTGGGTAGAGCCTGCATATTTTCACTCATCTTCAAGCTACATCCAGATACCTTGGCTGTCTAGTGGCTAGCTTGCCTGCCCACTTCAGGAAAAGTTAAAAATGCTTGGCGCTTGAACATGCTGGCTATTCTGCCTATTTTCGTTTCATAGACAAGAACCAAAGGTTAATTAATTCATGTTAGTATATTTGTATGCAGTGAAAAATGTCTGTGCCTTTTTACTCCCATCTTTTATTATGGTCTTTCAGCAGCTAAAGAGCCTTTGAAGTGACTATGTGAATAAGGCAGCAAATGTGAGCATTTGATTTACTGATTCTCTTTTGTTTTTTATCACAGTTTTTCTCAAGTTGTATAAGGGACATAATAAAAAAATATTGTTTTTACTTTATAGTTGTTTGTTTAAGTGCAGCAGTGGAGTTCACTGGTGAACGATTAACAACAAAAATCGAGATGACCACAAAAGAGTTTCACTTGCTTACGAATTATGTAATTGATCATCGGGTTGGAATGTAGGATGCTCACATCTTTGTTTGTAGTAAAGGTAATGTCCCACACTGGTAGTGATAGAGTGAGTAGGAGGGGTAGTGGTAGTGGCCTCTTTCCTTGCAAGTCCGTGGTTCAGTGTTACATTTATTTTTGTTTCCTGCTGTTCACCTGAAGAAGTCTTTGGGGTTTCATGTTTATATTTGTGTCAGAATAAAACCAAGAACGTGTTTTTTTTTTTCTGGTGCAAAAGCGTTGGATCTTGGATCAACAGCCTGTAAAAAATAAAAAATGTCACGTTTGGATTTCACCCAGCATTATCATCATGTGTGAGCAATGTACAGTATGACCCATTTTTGCTGATGCG